GAAAACCGAGTTCATGGTTATTTGCTCTCGCCAGAAGCTTCTTGTGGAAAGCCATAACGAAATAAACATCAAACTAGAAGACCAAGTTATCAGCAAAGTTGATCACGCAAAATCATTAGGTCTCATTATCGACAATCAGCTTTCCTTGTCTAGTCATGTTAACGAATTGTGCAAGGAGGTAACTTCGGCTATAGGTGCCCTCAGACGTATCAGGCCCCTGATCTCCCAATCTACCGCGGTACTAGTCTATAACTCCTTAATTCAACCTCACTTTGATTACTGTAGCCTCGTTTGGGACGGCTTAAGTGATCAACTGAGTGACAAATTACAAAAGTTACAGAACCGTGCAGCTAGAGTAATTTTAAAGGCCAACTGTGGGACTAGCTCGAGCCTGCCTCTTGATATAATGATATATGATATATCATGTTATCTGATCACTACATAAGGTAGCACAATGTTCTCTTAATTCTTAAACCTTTCTGGTTTAAGAATTCTAAAATACTAGAAAACTTAACTGGTTATAATTAGGCATATATTATGTGAAAACTGGTCTAGATTTTTTGACGATGTTAGGGACAACTGAGGTGTTAATAAATATAAATGATAAATGAACAACACCCTAGAGTAGTCTATTTTGCATCATACTGGGGTAAGAGGCTGTTGATGATAGCAACTAGGTTTTGCAGTATGTCACCTTTGATAGGGTGGATAACATTATAGCTTGATCAACAGTAATATCATAGTTTACTCGCCAATCCTAACCACACCTGCCCTCCACCCCTCCTTGAGCTTGCACACAGCATTGGCTTACTGAGGCATAGGGCATCTTAGTTTACTTGGTTATTGACAAATAATGATGAGCCAAATTAAAACTTGCTTCCACTGGTCAATGGTTGAATTCTGGTAAAACTTTTTCCTAGTTGGAGGCCTCATGTTATAACACAAAATAATGAATTTTAAGGGAACTAAAAAAATTATACATTATATACCGATATTGTACTTTAACTCTACAAAGCACCCCTCCACATTCAGTTTTAATACAACTGCAGAGGGAGGAGATTGGGGGTGGGGCACTACCCCCCAAAAATCAGTTCAGATTCACCCCGCAGTATGCTTCTTGCTTTGCCAAATTTTGACCAAACTATGTGATTTTCACTATCCTATTTCAGGCCTGATCCAAAGTTCTATCCCCAGTTTCAAACTTTGCAGGTCTTGCACTCCAGTCTCAAAACATGATGAGGGCAGCTATCCAAGAAAATGCTTTTGGGTTGTGTGTTACTCAAAGTGTACTTCTTAACGGGGGATCTCTTAAAGCATACTGTCTATATACAGTGCATATATCACTTTACATTTCACTGTTTCAGATAAGAAAGTACAGCTATATAGCTTATGATAACTCGTTCTAGGCATTCAGATAGTGAGAAGTAGAGCATTAAAAAAAGCAGGTTTTTTTAAGTTTTGTTTTTTTTTGCACCTTCCCCAATACCTGAATGTCTGGCACAGGCTACCATAAACTACTGCTTTTAAGCCTCCCCCCCAACTTAGAAGCCCCCCAGTTATAGGCCCATTTACCAGTGAACAAGAAAAAATGTCCCCCTGGTTGTAAGCCCTCCCCTACGAAAAAAAACTCTAAAACACCTTACAAAGATGTGTAACCCATGAGCTCATAAGTGGTACTTGAACAGGTTTCTCTCTGGATGCATTTGCATAACTACCATCACTTCCTACTAAACTAGTGTCCTGGGAAACACTTTTTATCAGTAACTGGTAATCAAAAGTACATATAACTGTTTATACCCCTACAACAGAGGTGACAAGAGCTCACCTATACTGTGAAAGTTGCAAAACCGTGAATACCACAAATATTAAGGAATGTTATTGCATTGCAAAGAAAAAGCTAATAAGGTGTGAGAAAACAAAACCTCAAACAGCAATGGTAATTACTTTGTGGTTTTGAGGTTTGGTCATGTGTACTGAACTTTATGGTGATTGGTCATTACACAATCAATATTTTTCAGGTATTAATGATTTTCTGAGTCTGACAGAAAAAATTATTGAAAACTGTCTCTTTGAGGTACTGATGATGTTTTTTAGTTAGGAGATGATACCTGAAATCCTTAGGAAGATAAACACTTTTAGCAGAACACTGAATGGCCCCCATAAACACCAAATGATCCAGAAGTTTTATGATTAGGGTTAGGAAACTGGGGTTCAAGTTTCAGTTAGGGTTGATTTACAGAGAGAACTGAACTGGAATTTGATTCACTCAGTATTGTATACAGTTGCCATGCATGGAAGCCCGTGGAGGTGTATTAGACTGTCACCTCTCCTGGACAAACCTTGTAATATATGTTTTTTACCCCGGGTCGGTAAATTGATCAATATTGATTTGTTTTGACGTAAATCCTTCGGTTGTCTCACACGTGTTGTACACAAAAGCTCATGGGCAAAATTAAAACGACGACATGCGACACCATAAAAGGAAATAAACATAGGAAAACACAACCAGCTCGAGTGAAATGAAATATATATTTTACTCTCCTAACAGAACACATTAATGGTATCGTTTCGGAAAGCGTTTTGAAGTAAGATAGCGGTTGCAGGACATGGAACAAGATACCTTTTTAGATTGACTTTTTCCCGCATTATATCGATCGATCTTCGCGATTTTTTCCAGCGTTTGTTCGCCAAACGTATTAAAAAAAAAATCACATAACGCAGACGATAGTCTGCCGATTAATTGTCTCAGTTCTGCAAACCGACAGTGTGTTCAGCCGGTTTCTGTTACTGTCTTCTTCTTTTAACTCCAAACTATCAGTGAATCTAAGTTGAGTGAAGTGCAGCATTTTCAAAACATCCCAAAGAAGCCACTCTCCAGAGAGAGCTCAGGAAGTAAAGTCTTTCCCCCAGTGGAGCGGTGAGGGACAAAAATCCGTTATGAGCATGAGCAGTGATATTTGTAACTTCTGCATATGCGCGACCGGATGTCAGAAATTTTCTGACATCCGGTAACGGCTGCTTCCAGAGCCCCTCGTTTCCCGACCACGTGACTAAGAAACGACGGGCTCTAGGGACGAGAATGTTCTCGCAATGTCTAATTAACAATTACTCTTGAAATCGGGTGAATAGTGGCTAAATATTTACCGAGCCACGAAGTAGCGAGGTAAATATTCCTAAAGCCACTATTCACCGAGATTGAAAAGAATAATTGTTTTTAGTATATATATACACACGAAGCGATCTCAGAAAAATCAGAGAGGAAATCATTAAAAAGTACGATTTGATTGACAGACAGGTCGGCTTGAGACACGCGAAAGTTTAAAAATAGATCTTTGTAGAATTTTCAAACATGGCAATTCACAAGCTTATTACTTCGCAAACAACAACGTTATGACTTAAATGGAATCGTTAAAAGTTTCAATTGTTTCCTTACCTGAGAAGAAAAGAAGAGCTTTGTTATTTTCTGTTGACTCGCCAAGTTTATAGCCAAAAGGGTTTGTTGTGTCGTTCTTCGGATGAAGTGCAGACAAAAAAGGCGATTCGGTTTCTCGAGGTAAGACGTCGTCTTCATGTAGCATTCTTTCTCCTATTTACTTGAAACATAGATTTTTCTGCAAATATTTGCTTTCAAATTTGTTTGTCATAAATAAACTTCGTTTTTGGGCCAAACGTTTCTCGTTAGGAAACGCTGAGTTCACGAAACGGCCTCTTCTGGGCGAATAAACGGGAGTTGTAAACAATCCATCGACCACAAAACTCAACTATAGTAAGTGGAAAATCGCCGTTTTGAATCCCTCGAAGTCTTTTCTTGCGTGAAAAAAGTCAACCCTAGGATTTTGTCGACTTTTAAAAGATCGTTCTCTAACAAAATGGGAAAAAAAACAAGCTCACATATTATCCACTCGCTAGGAGCTGAATATTTATCAATTACTCTTTGAAATCGAGGTGAATAGTGGGTAAATATTCCCAAAGCCACTATTCATCGAGATTGAAAAGAATTAATTGTTTTAGTATATACACACAAAGTGATCTCAACAAAATCAGAGAGGAAACCATTAAAAAGTACAATTGGATTGACAGATCAAATCACGCGTAAGTTTAAAAATAGATCTTTGCAGAATTTTCAAACATGGCAATTCACAAGTTTATCATTTCGCAAACAGCAGCATAATGGCTTAAATGGAACCGCTAAAAGTTTGAACTGTTTCCTTACCTGAGGAGAAAAGTGGAGCTTTGTTGTTTTCTGTTGACTCGCCAAGTTTATAGCCAAAAGGGCTTGTTGTGTCGTTCTTCGCATGAAGTGCTGACAAAAATGGCGGCTCGGTTGCTCGAGGTAAGACGTCGTCTTCCTGTATCATTCTTTTTCCTGTTTACTTGAAACGTAGAATTTCTGCAAACATTTCCTTTTAAATTTGATTGCCATAAATGAACTTAGATTTTTGAGCCAAAATTTTCTTGTTAGAAAACGCTGAATTCACGAAACGGCTTCTTTTACGCGAATACACGGGAGTTGTAAACAATCCATCGAGCACAAAACTCAGCTACACTTAACTGAAAAACACCGTATTGAATCTTTCCAAGTCTTTTCTTGCCTTAAAAAAAGTCAGCCCTATGATTTTGTCGACTTTTAAAAGATCGCTCTCTAAAAAAATGGGAAAAACACCGAGCTCACACATTATCCACTCGCTAGGAGGTGAATATTGTTGAATAGTCCGAGATAGCGAACCAATCAGATTGCTTAAATCACCAAGATCACTGAGTGTGTATATACTAACGTTGAATAATCCGAGATAGCGAACCAATCAGATTGCTTAAATCACCAAGATCACCGAGTGTGTATATACTAATAGGCAATCTATGATAGAGGTCATAGAAAAACAAATGTAACTATTATTTTTGCTAATATTAGAACATTAAAGTCAACATACTACTTGCTTTATGATAAATATCACTCTAAAACACATACAACTATGATTCCATTTTAATTTTGCTACAAATTTTGGCTTCACAAGCTAAAAAATAGGAAAAATAAGAGGTTTTAGCTTAAAAATAGGGGAACTAGGAATATGCTCAAAAAATAGGAAAAAAATAGAAACTGGACACCTTGATTACTCCGGCAAATAAAAATTTTAGCATGAAAAACAACGTACCCTTATTTCTTCCTAAACCACTGTACTTTTCTGAGCTACAAGTTATAAATGGGATACAGACTGCACTGCATATGGGAAGTAATTACATTGCATTACTTTTGCAGCATTCTTGTATCGACTCTCTCTCCTCGACAGAGACAATTCTGGTCAAAGGTAACGTAACTGTTTAACAGCAGCTTGACTGCAACACCGAATTCGTTAAATATGTTCCTTTGTCTTCCACCACTATGTTGGTTCAAACTCTTCTTAACCTGTCTTCTCCATAGTTTTATAAGAAGAAAGAACTTTAATAAATGACGGCAGTTTGACTGCACCATCACCATGTTGGTTCAAAACCTTCTTAAACTCTCGTCTCCATAGTTTCATAAGAAGAAAGCACGTAAGTGACCATTAGTTTGAAGTTATCTAGCCATGAGGAAAGAGACTCTTCTTTCGGTAAATTAAACATTGGCGTTCTACTTTAGTGTCCAGTCTTTTTTGCCCACCTCTTAAATATTGACTGTGCCCAACTCCAGCAATTAAAAATTTTAGCATGAAAAACAACTCATTTCTTTTAAACTACTGCACATTTCCGAGGTACAAGTTATATATGGGATATTGCACTGCATACCGTAAGAAATTCTATTTCACTTATTTAGTTTTGCAGCGTTCTTTAGGTTATTTGTTAAAAAATACAACAACCAGGTTTTCCCTCTAATCGATCTCAGTAGCAAAAGAGACAATAGTCCAGTTTCATATTAAAAATTACCGCTGAAAATAAACATTAACGACACATTCATACAGGGTTAGCCTCGACGTAAAGTAAAACATTCAGAAATTCTGGCAAGTAAGTGCTTGAAATTTGAATATACACAATAGACAGTAATAAACAGGTCTTTTTCTCGTTGGAATTTGTGAATATATTACTTCAGATGGAGGCTAAGGCTGTAAAAAATGCGTCTTCACTCCTTTAATTCAGCGGTCATAGCGAGCTCGAAAATGGCCTATTCTGGGAAAGGGTAACTGTTTCACAGCTGTTTGACTGCAACAGCAAATTCGTTTTCTTCCACCACCATGTTGGTTCAAAACCTTCTTAAACTGTCGTCTCCATAGTTTCATAAGAAAGCACGGAAGTGACCTTTACTTTGAAGTCATCTAGCCATGAGGAAAGAGACTCTTCTTTCGGTAAATTAAACATTGACTGTACAATGTTTAGCCCCTCGATCCTTACTCTTGACGTCAAATCACTCTTTTCCAGCCTTCTTAAAAAGTTCTTAGAGTCCCTTCCCTGTGCGATTGCTGCGTACACTTGTCTCACATCACTCGTCTCAGCGTAGTCAGGCCTGGAGTATTTATCCTCCGACAGTAGCCAAAGCAGCACTGTAAGACTGTACACACAGTGGTTTTTAAGGATGCACACTACCGCTGAATCAAACATACGAACACCAGGGTTGATGTCAGGCACATGAAACGGAGCTTTTTCGTCTGGATACAATATGGAATCGTCTCTCGGTTTGGAGACATTTAGCTTGGCGTTTAAGTTTTCGTCCAGCTGCCGTGAAAGAAAAAGAAAGTTATAGAGCAGCCGCGCTTTGCAGAGGTTGTACCAACGTATCTAACGTTGAGTTGTGTTAGTTTTTTGTCGTTAATATCGTCGCCGTCAAATATTAAAGCTACCTTACATCTATAGATAGTCTTGCAAATTACGTCACGCGTGACGGCGGTCATATTGGTTTGTACAAATAAACTGCGGGGATAGAATTTTTTTCTCATTTAAAAACTTCCTTTTCTTTTGTTCCAAGAAATTCTTATAGCTGCTAACCACGTGAGTGAAAATGATCTATAACGAAACTGAGACGAGAGCGCAAGAGATATAGAGGCTGGTAAATATATTTTTGTTTCCAGGGGGCGTTTCTCGTATGCATTCAAGATCACAGTTTCAATAATCTTGAAAATAATCCAATGAAACTAACAGTTAACGAAGCAAAATTGACCGGTGTGTGTGCTATGAACTGTGTCACTATTCAACAGGTTTTGATTTTAAAATTTACCTTCGGGCCCGAAGAGTTACCGAGCCTTTCGCCGAGAAACGGGCCCCGGCTTTGGTTCAGTGTATCTTGTCTTCTGTTTTATCGTAGAAACGATAGTGAGGCTCAAACAAAGAGTAAAATTAAAGTTGGACTACTAGGGTGACAATACTTGATAAAGATGAAATAAACATCAGTTTCATAGACAACCCCAACTAGACTGTTCAGAGTCCGGGATTTTCCCGTGTGAATGTGGTTTCAATCGCAGTGTATCTTGATTCCTAATAGTGCCGAGCCAAAACTGGAAAACTGGAAAGAGTACAAATTTCCTTCCCCAACCCCAGTCCTCACGGGCAAATTGGATTCTTCTCGTATTTAGATCAGCATAACAAATCTTAGCGATAAGGAATAGCTAGGGACCTGAATAGAACATTTTCAATAAGAAATCAAAAGTAGACAGTGTTACAATAAGAAGGCATATTAAAAGGATTTCAAAAAATATATACCAGGACATTTGAAATCCTCAAATCCACGTGATAAAGGCCTCTGTCCCAGCAATCTTCAAAAGCAGCCGTTATCTGTTCAATTATTCTGAGACCACGCCGAAAAGGAATGCCATCCCTGTTCAGAAGATCAAACAGGTCTATGCGCATTCGTGGTAGCAGCACGGTGAACCGCTTGCGCTTATCCAATAGCAACGAAACGGGCTTCAAAACTGTGGACAGGTCGTTTTGAATCCTAAGGATCAAAAGCAAGTATAGAAGATGCCATCAAAAAGTAAATTCCTCCGTTTCTAATCCTCTTTAAAATAAATGCTAGCCTGTGTCGTACATGTAATCTAACCCGCCCGGTTAGTAACGTCTGCAAAGCAGCGCTGTTATCCTTGTTCCGTGCCCCCAACGGACTCAACGAATTACCGGAAGTGCGTTTCGAGTCTCCCTTCAACATGATTGCCAAATCAACAATGGCCTTTTTAACACACCAATCGTGGTGGGTACTCAAATCGGAGTACACAGGTCGGGGGACCAGAGCAAGGATTTCAGCGGCTATTTCGCAGACGGACTTGACCAGAAGTTTAGTCCGCTTGTGGCGCTGCAGCCTAAATCAATGCCTGCCAAATTCTAAAAGCAAAATAAAAAAATCTTCCGCAGTATAAGCACCCACCGAATGAAAGCTCGCCCGGGCCTTTGAGAAAGATTAACCGAGGGCTCATTTTCGGAAATTTACACTATTTTACACTAACAGGAAATGCTGTGAAAGCCCATGTATGTTTGATGTTGGATTAATTGAACAAATCTTCGCGCTCTTTTCTTGAGGGGAGTCACCTCATATTTGGTCTGATTTGCATATAGAGTTCACCCTAGGTGGCCACTTGACTTTTCTGAGAATCCATCCACTTTAGGCTCACTAAGAGTGACCAACAATGACATTTTTAACATACCAATCGTGGTGTGTACTCAAATCCAAGTACACAGGTGGGGGACCAGGGCAAGGATTTCGGCGCTATTTCGCAGACGGACTCTTAACCGGAAGTTTAGTTCCGTTTGTGGCGCAGCAGGCTAAATCAAAAGCAAAATGTAAAGATCTTCCCCAGTATAAGCACCCACCGAATGAAAACCTGCCCGGTAGACCCGAAGGCTTATTTTCTGAGTTTTACTCTAACAGGAAATGCAGTGAAACCCCATGTATGTTGGATGTTGGATTAATTAAACAAATCTAGGTGGTCTCTAGACTTTTCTGAGTATCCCTCTACTTTAGGCTCACCGCTGAGCGACTAATTAAGATTAAGAACGGTAAAGTTTGATTTCATTTACTGAGTTAACTGCCCACTACAACTAACTTCTTGAGCGCTAGGCTTTAGTTAGACCGCTCGTATAACCAGATTTCTGTCTGTCTGTCTGTCTGTTTCTCTTTCTGTTTCTGTCTCTGTCTTTTTCTCTGTCTCTGTGTCTGTGTCTCTGTGTCTCTGTCCCTGTCTCTGTCTCTGTCGTCTGTCTCTCTTTTCCGTCATTAGCGCTGCATCTAAAGAACTAACTGATTAGTGATTAACTATATGATTCAATGCAATTCTGACCTTCTATAAGAACGTATCAAGCCAAACATATACTCTTCTTTCGTTGACTCCTTGTCGCAGGTTAGCTGTTTGGCAACAAAACGCTCCTCGGAATATACTTCATAGACGTCGCCTCTGTGTCCTTTTCTTCCCACTCGAGCACCCAAGGCTACTCTCTGGGGAACTGGTGATACGAGGGTTTCATTGAGTGCTGCTGTGCTACACATTAAGCTGGCAAAACGTGGTGCCCTTGCTATCGCAAACTTTTGCTGAGCGTCAGTCAGCTTCGCTGCGGCCGCGCATATGCTTTTCATGAAGCGCAGACTTCTTTTAAAACGTTTGTGACCAAGACCAAGATCGTCTAAAATGTTTTGGCATATTCTGTCAGCTATTGCATCGGCATCAACGCTATCAAGCACATCCTTAGCAACGCTTCGCTTCCATGCTCGGTTTAGTCTTGTCCCCTTTCCTCTGAGGGCAGACCACACATCGTCTACTGCCCTCACGGCTTCATCCCTCATTCTGATTCCAGTTCTTATCAAAGCATAATCAAAATGTTGTACCACGTCTTCCTGATGGAAATGCTGAAGAAAGCTGTACTCTAGCTGTCTCTTTACAAGATTAGGCAGACGATCATCTTGTTTTACCACTTCGCAGAAAGATTCTTCCAGAGATGTACGCAATCGTTTCGTAATTAGAGTTAGTGTTTGCTTCACTCTAACCATGGAAATGTCCATAACTTTAAATAGCACCAGGTCCTTGATTTGTCTTCGACACTGTTTGACAACTTCATTTCGTCCGACAACATCCCCTATTTTAATGGGGTCAAACTGCATCTCGCTTGCGTCTTCCTCGATTTTGATTCTCTTTACAATGATAGCCTTAGAAATAATTTCTGCAATCTCAGATCTGCGTGATTTAATGTATGTCACTGTCTGCTCTACATAACTTTGCTCCTTCGATTTCAGGGAATCGAACAATCCACTTTGGACGGGTTTTTGGAAACCGCAAGTCAGGAACAAATCGAAAACTCTGTTTTGGATTTGGGAAAGAAGCTCGGTGGCAGATTTCAAATGCGAATTTACTCCAACAACAGCAAATTTAAGCAGCTTGGATTTGAGAATGTCAAAATGTTCGGTGAATTGGTTGGTTACTTTGTTACGCCGAGCACTCCTTACTTCCCTGCACGACAACCCGTGAAAAAACGCACAGTCCTCCCATGCTAGGTCTTCAGGAACCATTTGGCACTTTGTAAGAGCTTGATACACAACGTATTGTTTCTCTTTTTCCTTTTCACTTGACTTGTCGTGTTCTGACTTGGAATTACTTTCTGAGTCGGATTCCCGGTCAAATTCTTGTGCTTTTTGGTCTTTGTCCACCTTGTTGCAAACGAAGAAAATGGGCAAGTTGCCAACTTTTTCTTTCAAGTTGAGAAGAAATTCCCTTTCCTAAGGTAAAAGGAAAAAATGCTTGGTTACTCACAAGGGAGTAATAAGGTATGATAGTGACGGGGAGATGGAAATGAAGCCAAATTGTTGCATCGAAAGGCTCAGAACTATTACCCAAGAAGTGTCCCTTTTCTCTATAAAAAAAGGGGGCGAAGAAAGAACATAAAAAGCGAAACTACGGTTTTGAATGAAACAGATCCAAAGGTGTGGCATAAAAGTGGAACCCGAATAGTAAGCATTTCGGCAAACCCAATCAGTACCTCCTCTCAATATTACACCTAGGTACCACCCCCCAGCCAAATCCGCGTTGGTAATTACCGTAACCCATTTCCTCTTACGCTAACAGAGAGGTTAGTAAGGCGTGAAGGAATAAAGGACTAAGAAGTCTGTTGCACAAAGGGCGAGGTATAACTGAATTACAACTTAAATTGTTAATCAACTGTCAGACTTTCTCGGTTGCCAAACTCTATGATAAGGAACCTACACAGCGGCTATATACTGAAACGCTAACAAAGTCATTAAAACGGGACGTCTGGAAAAAAACATCCTTGCTGGGATGGGTTTTTATCAAAAACTGGCAATTTCATTCTATTCTGCTTGAGAAGTGTAACTGCATGGGCAACACAATAAGACAAAAAGATTTCGCTCCTTCCTTCCTTAATACTGACTGTACATAAACGATGGCTTGGTAAGCAAATAACGGCACTATAGAGTCTAAAAGCACATGAAACACCAAGAACGGCCATCACAGATTCTTACCTGGGAGATACCTCAGACTTATTTATAATGGTATTTGTACAGTGTTGAGAGCTTGGTGCCAAAATTATTTATGTAACTTTCAACTGACCAAGATTATCGGGTAGTGTCAACTGGGCATTCACAGAGTTGTCTTGAACACGATCCCACAAGGCTTTCCTTATTTCACACTAACCTGTAATCTTAAAGATGAGTTGCCATCGATGACGTAAATGATGACCTGTAAGACTCCCTGAATGCACTCATTAACGATCTTGTCCAAAGACTCATTTTCACTCATCCCAGGTGCATCAATGACTTCTAGATGGCCACTTTGTAGGAGTGGGTTGTTCATTCCCACTTCTACCACAGAGTTGATCCATAACGGGTCGCCTCTTTTGCTTTCATCCAGCTCAATTGCCTCTTTAGGGACCTTCTTCGTACTGAATGGAACCTTCTCAATTCCTTCGGTGGAAGGATTTAGGTCGAAATTCAACACCTTGGAAAAACATTTTTAAAAACTCAAAGGGGAAAATAGAAAAATTATAGAAATAATTACCATGCGATCTCTCTGTAGCTTATTAGTCGGGGTACCTATAACCTCAGACAAAACCTATTGAGACATATCGCAGAAATACCTCATTAGTGTTGCTGTCATCCTTGCAAAATTGGAAACCGTTGCCCGGTTTTTCTTCCTTCCGTTATTCAGTGTTGTTTAGGATAACACAAGAAGTATATACCTTGGTTTTTAGACCGAAACAACTTTGAATAGGGAAGGGGAGGCTCACTTTTTCTGTTTAGGGGAGGTGATACTATGGTACAAATGTCAAAAAAGAGATGGAACAGTCTTCAACAGTTTTGGCCAAGGTTGTGGCTGGTATCTGTGGTGTCATGTGCTCCAATCCCCCGAATCTCGGACTTTATGTCATACTTATACACTCGTGACATAATACTAGTTATAGCTATCACTAAGTGCCAGCGAGCAAATATTTTACCTATACGCGCGCGCTGTTCAGTTTGTTGAGAAATGTCATGAATTACAGTAAGTTATGAAAATATACTGAACTTAATTCGATTGCATAAGCGAAAACAACATTGAAAATAGTGCGAACTTAATGCAAGGGGCACACATACACCAACCCACGGTCTGGCCAGTATCTCACGCATGCGCACAGCCATATCACGCGGAGAGTGGCAGCCATGGACAGCTGTTTCACCCTTATTGCATGCTCGGAGACCCAGGGGCTGTCGGTCGGGTCGGGAGAAAAGGCAGGACGAAAGTTCTCAAGTACGGGCAAAAGAGCCCCTGGGTACCGACTCTCACCAAACTATTTTCAAAAATTCAAGCGAATGCTGGCTCCTGATTGGGCACAAAAAATGCCTTGTATTATTGTGCCCAATCAGCCAAGAGTCTCTCCTGAGTTCTTTTCGTGAGTTCGTACACCACGCCTATTGTCTCGCCACACTTGCCCGGTTCGTTCACCAAGCTTATGTGTGCAAGGGAAACTTTCGTTTTCTACTTTCCTAACCAGAAACGAAGGAACTACCGATGAGTCGAAAAAACGTTTGGGATGCTATAAGCAGGAGCAATTCAATTTGCCCCGAGAATATTCTGTTTTTGACAGATCACAATGTATCGTAAATATTAGGAAGTTTGAGATGTGGCGGCGACGAGAAAGTCAAATAAGCAATAGCTCGACAATGCAAAACAACAACCTTGCACGTGTATCACGCTTTTTTATACATTTAAGTTTTTGCCGTCAACTGCACGACTACCCGTGAAAATGCCTAATTTCACGTTTTGTGAAGGACGTAAACAAGCAGTGGCAAAATTCATTCTCTTCATGCACTTGGATATGGTTGATAGAAATTCAGCTGCAGAAGAGTTCGCTTGCATTTGACAAAGTACGCGAGTTGGAATAATCACGATGGAGACTGAAAAATTTTGAATTCACTTTTCCATGCGACGTTTTCGTGGCTATCAGCCCTCGTGGTATCTTTTAAAAACTCCTTAATAGTTACGAAGACGTGACCGATGCAAGCGTGAATACCTGTTGTAAGCCCCAGCTTGTATTTCTGGAAAAGCGACTTTAGTTTTCGGCAGACAGTATTTTGAAATCATATAGGGATTTTATATCAAACTGAAAGTTTCCTGACTACGTGCAGTTCTTTGGTGCATGATCCTTGCTCGACCTGATGATAAGTCTGTACGTTGAATATTCACAGACTTTAATATGAGTTTTCGAGGATTCTACGTTTGCTTGTTTTTAACCCGTGTCTTTGAGACAAGGGTTTTCCAGTTCATTGACGCGACGGCTATGCCATGCTGGTGAGCCGCAATAAGGGCATCCACTGAGACCCAGGGGCAGTTAGTCGGGTCGGGAGAAAAGGCGGGACGAAAGTTTTCAAGTACGGGCGAAAGAGCCCCTGTGTCGAAAGCAGAAAGACTTAAGATCTAAGAACATTTAAGATTTGCAAACTTTTTAAGGGCCTGTTTACATGGAGGTGGGGAACCCCAGGTAGGTGAGGTAACCTGCTTATCTGGGGTAAAAAAATAACCCTCCTTTATATGCAATCTTACAACCCCGCCATCCCGGGGTGCACTTTCTCAAGATTATTGAATGGTCGCTAAGCACGTAAACTAGAAAAATGCTGGCAAACCACGTGTTTTGGCGATTAATGCACTTCTACACTCCCTTGTTGCTCTTGCCGCAACCTTCAGTACAATGGCTTTCTATCGTTAACTTTAATAATGATGCAAAGCCACCGCCAAAGTGAAATTTGCCCGAATTTGATGTATCACGAATCCGACCCCGGCCAGGCGGGTTACCCCATCTTGAAACGTTTACATGGCAAAATTTGACCCCGGCTGAGAGGGTAACCCGGTCTGGTAGACCAGGCTACCCGCCTTGGCGGGTCACCCCACGTAACATGTAAACGTGATCAAATTAAAATGAGAGATTATATGGACAGGCGGGTTACCCCACCTAAGCGAGTTACCTCACCAATCTGGGGTCCCTCACTTCTATGTAAACAGGCCCTTAGTTTGAGAAAACACGTAGAAACCTCCGTGACAGTTGCTTTTGAATAGCGTGACAACCATGCTGAAATAGTTGCTAAGTGATGTAATGGTCTAGAACTGGAAACGTAAAGGATCATGGGATTGTAAACACGTGCGAGATTGAAGAAGACAAGAATGCCTGTAGAAAGTTGTTCCTGTTGATGTGATTAAACCGAAGAAAAGGAACTGGATTGTCATGTTGTGTGAGCTAATTGGAGTCAGATAGTTATTTGATGTCTTGAGTTGGTATCTTAGCGTTTACGGAATCGAACGTGGCGACCCGCGACGTGATTTGGCCGTTCGTTACGAGTGTTGTTTTCCTCGATTTGCCGCTGTTTCCCAGTGAAAATGAAGAAGAAACAAATAGACCAGCTGAGGAGAGCTCGTACTGGATTAAGAGGCTGGATGACAAGAGATTTCAACGCTGTTAGAAACATTATTGAATCCCACTCACATGAAGTTGAGAGAGTGGAAGAAAAGCTCGGTTCAGTTGTTACAAGATTGCAGAAAGCCGAAGATTTGCAGATGGAGATCGAAAAGCTCTTGA